GTAGTGGGTAGTAGGCTATTCTTGAAATGGGTCAATAAGAACTTATAATTTTGTGGGCCTCAAGCCTTGAGGCGGTGCTGCAAGGCGTATGCTTACATAACTCAGGCGCCCGCCTCCGAAAACCACCTCACAATCAGCGTCTTGAGGCATTTCTTGCTTGCCTCACTATGAGGCAGGCCGTAAGACGAGTTTCAATTGTATTATTTAAATCCATGCATATAATGGCCTTAGTGTAAAGCAATTTTTTCTATTATTCATTTTAGATTTTCAATTGCTCTTCATTTTCTCATCTAGTATGTGTTGTATAAAAATAATCTTTTTAACTTCCATCAGTTGTGGTTTTTACTTTATAACAATCACACATGTGCTTCATCTATTTCACACTTTGTTTCTTTTGCATTTTCTTGATCCTGATCAACTAGTGTCATTTTCCAGGAGTTGACGTAGAGGGTATCTTGCGGCAAGCTGCAGATGTTGATGATGTTGAACGTCGAATAAGAGATTATGAACAGGGTTGGTTTTCTTTAATGCAATGACTTGCACGGATGATTTAATGTTTTCTATTTAGTAATATATGCAGATACAAGTAGATTTAATTTTGCATCTTGTCCAAAATACAATATTATTTCAGTCATTTTCATTTTTTGCTACTTGTAACTCAGAGGTTTAAAGTTAGTTGTATTCAAAATAAGGTTATCACTCAAGATGTTTTTAGATATTATTTATCTGTAAACACAGAAAATCACCGTGATTAGACTTCTGCATTGCTTTCAAGATTGTTTGAAGTTCACTTTTGTATATGGGCAATCATTACATACTCTTTATCCTATTTAATTTTGTTCTTGGCCTTTGTTTTTTCTACTCTGGATTTTAATTTTTTTTTTCTCTCTCGACATACCTTATGAGTAAATTGATGGATACCACGGTGAGAAAAATGTAGTGAGAATATGATATACATACAAAACTGCTTATTTCTCTTCAGCTCATGGACACCTGATAATAGTGTAGTTGATGTCAGTACAACCTTCTCAGCTCCAACTAATATACATACAGAAACATAATATATTTCGCAATATTTCTCCATCTGATTCAGGGAAAAGCGACTTTTCTCCTGAGGAGGATCCACATGTGATAGCCGACTGTGTCAAGGTATCTCCTTGCATCACAAAATTGTGTGAAAATTTGCAATTGTTTCTTCATAATTATATGCACCTTTTTCCTATACCAGTATGTTATTCGGGAATTACCATCGTCACCAGTACCTGCTTCTTGCTGCAATGCACTCCTTGAAGCATTTAGTAAGTTGTTTTTCTTTTCTTCATTTTTATTTATTTATTTATTATTATTTTATTTTTTCTGGTATCTTGGAGTTTGATTTCTTTTATCCTGTTTTTCTTACATTTTAAGTGAAATATTGAGTAGTTGAAGAAAAATGGAGAAGGGAATTCACTTTCTTTCATCAATGAAAAAGTATGTGCATAATTCTCTTGATGGCATAGTGTATTTGTTGGATTAAATACTGGCCATTTAATGATTGCATGTTAAACTCAAATCTCCTTTCATTTAGTTTCAATA